CTGAAGGACCCCAGTAGCATAGTGGGTTACGAGTTGGACTGCTAACCACAAGATCAGCAGTTTGAATCTGCTGCTCTGTGGGAGAAAGATGAGGCTTTCTGCTCCTGTAAAGATTGACAGCTTTGTAGACTATACAGGGTCACTGTAACTTGGAACCAACTTGACAGCACACCACCACCACCGCCACTGTTCTCTAAAGGAGCCTTGGTAGCATAGTCCATACAAGTTGGACTGCCAGCCACAAACAGAGTCAGCAGTTTGAATCTACCAGCCACTCGACATGAGAAAGATGAGGCTTTCTGCTTCCATAAGATTTGCTGTCTCGGAAACTCTATACAGGGTTGCTATGAATTGGAACCAACTAAACAGCACACAGCCACCACCACCACCACCTAGGTATCTCAGAAATAAGTTTCCTGAGACTCAGAACTGGGGTTTAATCCTAGTTGGGAGCCCTTTTTCATGTTAGATGTTGCAATCTCAGTTTTTCCTTGTAAAATACAGTGAGGTGGGGGAGAGGGGTGCAGAGTAGGGTGATCTTGTCTGTTCTTTCCTCTTGTAAGGGATTAGCAATAATATCTGTAAGTGCCCAAAACAATGCCTGACACTTAATTGCTCACTGAATGATATGTTATGAGTTATAGAAATCTCGAAACCAAAAATACATTCAAGAAGTCAGTTAGGTGTGGGTCTGTGTCCAGGACTCTGGCAGTGAAGAGGCAGTGTACAGAGGAGGAAGTCAGGAGTCATCATCTTACCTAACAGGACTATGGATAGTTCTAGGTTGTAAGTTTGGGGGTCAGTAGTAGTGGCAAGAGGGTTGAGCCAGGTGTAAAGTGCTTGTGGGTGAGATGAGATGAGGGGTATTAGTGATGGGGGCTCTGAGAGTCACTAACCGAAACAGGTGAGCTGTGGGACCCTTCTCTATGCGCAGCAGTCTTGAGAATGGCAGAGGGCCCCACCCAGTGAGGGAAGATTCCTCCCAGTTCCTCCTTCATGCTCTAGCTGCTCTCCTTGTTGTTACTTGTTAAGTACCGTCAGTTGGCTTCAATTCATAGCAACCTTGTATACGTTTCCAAGGAGTGGCTGATGGGTTTGAACCACCGACCTTGCAGTCAGCAGTCCACTGCTGATCCCATAGCCCCACACTAGAACCCTGCTGCTTTCTCTAGAGAACCTAATTTGTAATACAATTCCAGAAAGATTTTTCTTTTGAGCTCCCTGGGCTGTGCAAATGGGAGTACTGGTGTGGCGCCATGGGGTAAGCACTGGCCGCAAAGTTGGTTGAACCACGAGGTCGGCAGTTCAAACTCACCAGTTGCTCCTTGGAAACCCTATACAGGGTCAACAGCATTTAACAACAGCAACAATTAGCTGAAAGGTTTGAGGTTTGAACCCACCCAGATGTGTCTCAGAAGACAGACCTGGTGATCTACTTCCACATGGAAGCAGTCTGAACACCCTGTGGAGCACAGTTCTACTTTGTATGCTTGGGACTGCCATGAGCCTTAACAGGCTGGACAGCAGCAACTTAACAATTTTTCTTTAAAGTGTGTTCTTTAAAAGAAACTAACCGCCACTAGATGGCCCTGCTCTGCTGACTGTACCAATTATGATGATTTTTAAAATTCTTTTCAAATGATAGGCCACTAATGGGCTAGTTTGAAATATTAAAAAGTAAAATATGATGCATAACCTATTCTAGCATTTCATTATAGAAAGAAATAAACAATAAAAAGTTAAAATTCAAAATCTTTGTATTTTGTAAGTTTAGTCTATGCTTTAGAAGAAGGCTCAAGTTTTGAGATGTTGTTGTTAAGTGCCGTTGAGACTTCAAGTATCAGGCTTCCAAGTAGTGGCTGATGATTGAACCGCTGCTGTCGCAGTTAGCAGTCTACCTACCACACCAGGACTCCATACATAATGGTTAATGGTCTTTGTTCATATGTGAGTGATGTCAAAATTTGACTCTCATGTACAAATGTTTCATTTGATTTATTTTGTAAGATTTTTGGAATGTTGTTTCCTAGTGACTGGTTTAAAGAAAACAGTAGTGGTGGTAGTTGTGTACTGTCCAGTTGGTTCCAACTTCTGTCCATCTTGGATAGGGTTTCTGAGGCTGCAGATCTTTATGGAAGCAGAAAGCTGGTAGATTTGAACTGCTCTCAGGGCTCCTTAAAGAAGAGAGCAGTCCACCCTAAAGCAAGAATCTCTTTTGTTTCTTTCTTAACCACTACTTGAAATTTCATCTCTTTGAAAATTGGGGGTCACGTTTCTTGCAGGATGTAATGTTGCTTCCAAACAAGTGTGTCTAATTATTTCTCCATATCAGTGTGCTAATTACATGCGTACACATTCCTGTGTGTGTTAGATGGACAACTGCGGGTGCAGATAAGTGAATGGGGCAGACTGGTCACTGACTAGGCATTGTTGAGGAAGCTCAGAAGAGGCGGGGAGATTGTCCACATACCACGGAACCCAGTCTTCTCTAACTCACCCGTTTGTAACAGAAGGCTGCCTCCCTGTTACCCTCCAGTCCCTCCACCACCACCACCACCACCACCACCCCTGCAAAAAAAAAAAAAGAATTAGACTAGGCCTGTCAGACAGTGTTATTGCTCCCATCTCTCCCCCTCCCTGACTCATGGCTTGGTTAGACAATCAGCATCTCATAGTAGCGGCCGTAAAAGGGTATAGCAGAGCACAGTGTATGTTCTCCTTCGTTTGGGTACAGCAGTTGATGATAAATCGCTTTGTTGATAAACTGCAACTCTAAGGTTTATAGACCCTAGTTTTAGCCACTAAAGACCGACCCTTCCATTACCACAACGAGAAGGAATTCTTAATAAAGTTTTGTTGACCTGGTGTAATCATTTACTAGTAAGAGTTTAAACAAGGCCTGGTAGAATTCCTGCCCTGCTCGACAGTTGACAAGATGCCCCCCCTTTGGAACACATGGGGTCCTAGCTTGCTGTGCTCTGGGTTATCGAGGCCATTATGTTACCAGGCAAGTGGCCTAATGTCAGTGTAGATGCTTTGGGTTTGGGTCATTCAACAACAAATATTTTGTAACAGAGTGGTTGCTGATTTCATTGCTCTAAAGCCTGAAGCGCAGCGTTTTCTCATTGTGTCTTCATAGTCATGATGAGGACTTCCCTGGAGCAGTCTTTGTGAGGAATCTATGTGCTGGGCTGCTGGCCCTCATCCCTACCCATTCTGGTAGGCTCAGGGTTTGCAAGAAAGCACCGGGGAATCCTGGACTAGTACATAAGGGACTTGGAAAAAACATAAATATTCGTAGTATTTTATTAAAGTTTATATCCCAGTATTAATCTGCCCCTTTCCTCCATTTTTTTAAGAACCAGAAGCCTCATACATAGGACTTTTTTAATGAAATATATTAAAACATTACTGTTGTTAAAATGTGATCAAAGCTAATTAGTCATGACAGTAAATTTCAAATATAAGAAAACTGTCCCATAATGTTTTAATTTAGCATGTTATGGTAAAAAGCTTTAGCTGAATGCTACTTTGTATTATATTTCCCCCAAAGAGTTCCTTTAAAAGCAAAGAAAAACAAAAACCCCAGCAGAAACATTGTTCTGGAAAAAAAAAAAATCCAGGTCATTTTGGACACGTATAAATGTACCAATAATGCGTGCAGCATATATGTGCCTTGTATTATAGCTAATAGAGTGGCTCTGATGGACCGAGTGACTGAATTCTTCTATATTACAACTAAGACTTTAATCTCTACCTACTTGATTGACCATCTTCCTTGTCCCTCCCTGACCCCCATGCCCTACCCATGTCTGAAGGGCGAGATTTTATCAGGCAGACAGTTATGAAAGCTGGCCCTGTCTGTCTTTAGCCGTGGTGGTTGTGAGTCAGAACTTGGCCAGGACAGTGCCTTCTCATCAAGACCACAGCTCAAGCAAATAAAGTCAGTGGACAACAACAAGGAATTCACTTTGGCATCCCTTTCTTTAATGCTGCTAGTAGATTTCAATCTGATTGGGTCAGTTAATAGACCTATATTTATTGAGCTTCGTGCAAGAATTTGACTGCACTTGCCTGTCATTTAATATCCATTTTACAGATGAGTAAGTAAACTGACGTTTAGAGAGTCTGGCTGAAGCTATGAGTTAGTAAACAGAGGCACTAACACTTGAAATTAGGCCTGTCAGACTCTAAACCTGTGCTCTTAGACACTGTAGTGTTGTAGAGTTGCATTTTGCCAGCATTTAACCTGGGCATATTAAACCAGACTTGTGGATGACTCCTCTTTACCCACCCATGTTAAGCAAGCAGTGGATGTCATCAGGTTTGAAACAGAACAGAACACATTGTTGGCAAAGCTGTGGAAGAAATGTGTAAATAAATAATTTTTAGGGTTTTCTAATTGTGGTGCTGAAGAATGAGCACTAGATTGCAAGGTTGGTTTGAACCGTAAGGTCAGTGGTTCAAACTCACCAATTGCTCCTCGGAAACCCTATATAGGGTCACCGTGAGTCGGAACCAACTCTATGGCACTTAGCAACAACCATCGACAAACAAGTGAAAACCACCTAGACAGGTGGGTGGTGGCTGCTTCCTCTATGTCAAGAAGAAATGAAGGAATTCATGGAAAGCATCAGAAAAGCAGATTAGAGAGCAGTGAGAGGAACTGTGACTGGCTGTACAACCAGAACAGGCAATGAGGATCCCGGTAGGCATTTTGAAGGATGACTTTTTATGTTTGTAGCGTTTATAGGAGCTCCACCGAGCTGCTTTATGGGACCTTTGCCTTCTAACAATCACCAATTGCTCACGAAATGAAAGAAACTAGGGGACAGCTATAAAAGCCATCTATTTAGTTGTTCTCAAGTTGAGAGATTTTTGTGGAGATATGCAAGGGTAGCAAATACCCTTAGGATTCTTTCTTTCTCTTATAGCATATTTTTGATTGTTTGAAAGTTAATTGTAACCTAAGTTATATCATTCTTCTCCCCCTTTCATAGGGTTTCCTGAAGAATGAGAAGGACAATGCCTTGCTGTCTGCCATCGAAGAGTCCCGGAAGAGGGTAAGAAAATGAAGCAAATTGCACATGTGTACAGTTGTGAGGGCAGCACTGTGTACCACGGAAATACAAGCTCTGGAAGCAGGAGTCTGTGTCCCAAACCCAGCTCTGTCACCAGAGGAGCTCTACAAGAACCACTCTTGAGGTTCTTGTAACTGTACATGTGTGTCAAAATGCACCTGAGACTACTAACTATTAACTAGAAGTTCTGAGCCAGAAAATTCTGTGGTGTCAGTTGTTAGAGTATAAATGGTATTTTGGTTTCTGCTGATTGAGCAGTTCTGAAAAACAGTGCTAATTGCTGTGATCATTTATAATCTTCCTTTTTTCATACAGTGTGATATTCTGTAACATCTTTCATATTAATGATTTCTCCAAATGAAACAAAAGTACCACTGTACTCAAAAAGATGTTAAATAGGTCAGCCAAAGTAGCAGTTAAAAGTGCAACAAGCATTTCCTCAAGATGCTCAAAGGTAGTTTTACTAACAGGGGAGTTAACTTCATCTGTTTCTGACAAGGATCAAAAGGTCGAACCATTTTCAGAATATTCCAAAGAAATCTTCAGGCCTCTCAGGATTTGGGGGAGGGAGGAGAAAGGTTAGTGATCTGCTATTGGTTCTGAAATGCAGCTTTTCCCAGAGGGAAGAAGAAAGGGCTAAAGCATTCTGCCAGCAGTGGTTCCCTCTGTAAATGATGGTAGGTTAAAGAGGGCCCTCTGTTTTGCTGCATACAGAACCAGTTATTTATTTATGCAGTTTAAAAAAGAATGAAGTGTACAGTTTAATAATTTGTACTACTTCTCAATGGGCTTTAATAAAATATTCTGAGAAGGTGAAAATGTCTCAGTGGTATTGGTGTGAGAGAGGGCAGCAAGGGGCTTGCCAGTGCAGGTTTACATGGAATTATTTAAATGGCTGATATGTTTAATAATCAAAGTAGAACTCCCTAAAATTTATGTTAATTCTGTTTTTGGCAATAATACCTTTTCCTAGAAATACAGAAATTTTTACTTGTTGATTCAGACTTGAATTTTTTTTGTTTAGTTCTTTTTTTTTGGTGGATACTTTGGTTTGCATACTCTCCAAAATGTCCTCACCTCTTGTCAAGGACCAGTGAAATGAAATTGGGATTGTCAGGTGCCCCTGAGTCTTATGAATCCATTTACCCTACAGGCTGTGTTTCTGGAGTTGGCAGTCACTGAACATTGTGCCACATACTAAGACTAGTTATGCAGTCAGCCAGATCGTTTAACTCACCTACCACAATGCAAAATATGTGCAAATGTGTTTGTGAAGAGAGACATGCCAGGTCAGAGCCGGCCTTGGGGGCACCTCTGACCTGGCTGGACACAAGGACTGCTGCTGGGCAGAAACATTTACAAACAAAAGGTGAGCAGCCTCCTGGCATTTTGGTGGCGATTTCATGTTTGAATAACTTGCCAATATCCTTGTTGAAGTGCCAGGAAAACAGGCAAACAAGCTACAGAACCAGACGCGTGTTCTGTCTGTTCCCATTTGGTGCATCCCAGCAAAAAGACGACAACAACAAAACAAAAGCAAAAAACCCAGGACAATGCAGAGTCTCTCAAAGCCACCAACAGCTCAGTTATCATCTGGTGTGAAGTCAAAGTATACTGCCCTCTTCCCTTAGGAAAATGGGTTCAAGTGCACCCCACTTGTTCTTTATTCAGTAGCCCAGTCTCTCCCTGCCTTCCTTTCTGAACTGTGTTCAAAGGGAAATATTTTCCACACTTAACAGTAACGTGAGAGATTCAGATTTAATTTCTAATGGCTTCTGCACTGCCTTGCCATTTCCTGTGGTTTGTCTTTCTACTCCCAGGCACCTGCCTGCCTTTTAATTTGGTGACCTCTGGTGGCCAGCCAGTTGATCCCTTTCTCTCTTCCCTTGGGTGTTTTTCCTTCTTGTCACTGTTCATCCCTAGCTTCACCTGGCCTCAAGCCTTCGCTGTCTTTCTTTCTTTTAGTTCTGAGTTGAGTACCTCTGTTGTCTCCTTTAGTTGACATTCTTCTTTGCACCTAATCCCCAGTCTTTTAGATGTGAGTATAAAAGGAATAGGTTGAAATAGGGCAGATGGGTGACTGATCATCCTTGATTAAGGCACAAATTGGATATTCCATTATCTCTAATGTAATTAAGGTAAGCTGGAGGGGTGGCATGGTCAAGGGAAGAGAATTTGAATGTCGGGCCATTTATTTTACACTGATGATGAATGGAGCTACAGTGCTGTTCGTTCAGGTTGTGGAGCTGTTCCTAATTCAGTAGCCTGGCCTACTGCTTCCATATAGCTCAGGGTTTGGAGCCCAGAAAGCTGTCAATTTTCAAAGTACTTCCTGTGTTTGCAAAGCAGGGGTTCTTGGCTGGCAGGTGTGTAACCTAATTAACAGGGGGTCATTAATTCCCACTGTTGTTGTTCTGACCCTTTAAGGATGCCGAAGTCTCCCCAGTGTCCTCATCAGCAGTTTCTCTGGGTGCTGTATTGTCTTTGGGCTTCCATTGCCTTTGCTGCTCTGCCATTCTTTATTAGCCAGAGGACTTGTCCTTAAGTCTTAAGACTTAAGAAAAAGTCTTGTGACACAAATTAAGTGCCCACCTTTGTGGTCGATGCCACAGCTTAGTCTATGCCTCACTTCCTGATGCAAGTTCCAACAGTTGTCTGTTATGTTGGTCCTTTCCCATCTGTGTAGTTCTCCCACCTGGTGCTTGTGCCAAGGATGCTTAGTGGTGCAGTGGCTAAGTGCTCAGTTGTTAACTGAAGGTCAGCAGTTTGAACCCACTAGACCCTCTGTGGGAGAAAAGTGTGGCAACCCTATGGGACAGTCCTATAGAGTCGCTATGAGTCAGAATTGACTAATGACAGTGGTTTTGTTGTGCCATATGGGCCTCCAGTTTTCTTTGCTGGGAGAGGTTCAAGACTGTGGAGGCAGTTAGTTTGACCACTGAGTAAGAAATGTTGTAGCAGAAATTGTGGTTTATTTGTGTACTATTTTCTGGGTAACTTCTAGGAAAATTTAGTCCACATTTCTGTTGTCTATTCAAATGCATAGCTTGTGTGTTTCACTGCTGTGAACAAGAAGCCAGCATTTTTTCTCTGGGAGTTCTGGTGTGGCGCTGTAGGATAATGTGCTGGACTGTAAGGTCAGTTTGAACCGTAAGGTCAGCGTTTCGAACCCACCAGCCACTCCTTGGAAATCCTGTACAGGGTTGCTGTGGGTTGGAACCGACTCCACAGCGCTTAATAACAGCAATTTTCATCCCAGGCTAACTGACTGAAATGGTTCATTCTCACTCGTAATGAGCAGAACACCAAGTGGGTGTCTGTTTTTAAAGTTTGTAATTGTTGTATTTTCCATGTCTCTTTGGGATATATATTAGAAAAGGGATCAGTTAATAGATGAATTGAAATCAGACTTGCAGCCTGATACTTTTTTGTGTTTCCTCCCCACCCCCCCAGCATTGCAATAAATATTGATCTAAATGCAAACATCCCATTTTCAGGAAAATATATGTGTTTTTTGTAGCAGTTCCCCAAAGCTCATGTATGTGGATATTATCAGTATAAATGATCTGTATTGCCAAAAACAAAGCAAGCATTACTAATACCCATTCCCTTGGTGCTGCCTAATTAGATGCCAATCTGATAGTAAATGAAATGACTTTTTAAAAAGTGGGTTTCAGCTGTTGGAAAACCTAGCCTGCCAATTAAAGAATAGTGGGATCTGAATGGTCACGATTTAGCATAGCTCTGCATGTGGCTTTAATTCTTCCTCAGAGGTTTGTGCTTTAACCCATTCTACCTTTTGTCCCTTTCTTTCTTTTGACAGCTACCTGCAGTAGTTGTCACCAGTAGATGGTAATCCAAGGCAAGGTTTGACCATTAGGAAACCTAATCCCAGAAGTGTCTTCTTTCCTTGATTTGCTTCCTCTTATGAAAATATTAATATTTCTTTAAAAAGTAATAAAATCACTGGAGAACCTTTGTCTTTTTTTTAAATCTTAGATGCTTATTACATCTTAAGATACCACTAATTTTATGTCATTTTATTTACTACAGTATGGAAAAAATACTGTAATTTAAACTGTCACATGCTATTAGTTGGACTTATGCAGCCTCATTTCAAGGGTTTGAAAAAGATGCTTATTTTAGAATTGATGAAACAGTTCATATTGTGGACAGTTGTCACTAAAGTCTTGAAGCATAATTTGCCTGAGTTTACTTAGGAGTGGTGAAGGTGTGAGGCTTTTGCTTTCAGTTGGGCTTTACAGGAACTGTGCCCTCAGATGTTTCTCACGCGATCATTGCTCTGTTGCCTCTCACAGACCTTTGGCATGGCTGAGGAGTACCATCGAGAGTCAATGCTGGTCGAGTGGGAACAAGTGAAACAGCGAATTCTCCACACTCTGCTGGCGTCAGGAGAAGATGCCCTTGACTTTACTCAAGAAAGTGAAGTAAGTTGAATCCCAGAGATACATCACTATTAATAAAAATGCCAGGTCAGAGAATGCCTCTCTATTGACTACCATCAGTCGCTGCACAGTTGATTGCTGCCTGTTGAAACATCTCTTCACTTGACTTCCAGAATGCCTCCATTTTGAATCTCTTCCAATGTATCTGGCTGCTTCTGCTCTGTCTGTATTTCCTCACACTCGCTGACTCCTAGATGTTGTATTGTCCCGAGGCTCATCTCTCTCTTTTGTCTTTTTTTTCCTGTTAAATTTTATTTATTTTGTTGTTGCTACAAAGACTGATTATTGTGCCATGGATGGCCGCCTGAAAGCTTTACGAGCCTAGGCACTGTGCAACTAGAAGGCAGAACAGAAGCACTAAACGTATTCTTCAGCCAGTTAACTGGTAGCATGGCGCCTTTGTAGGATAAACACTGGGCTGGGAACCACAAGGTCAACTAAGTTGAGCCTACCAGCCTACTGCTCTGCAGGAGAAAGATGAGGCTTTCTACTGCCTCAGAAACACTGTACAGAATCACTAAGAGTTGGAACTGACTCAACAGCACTTAACAACAGAGTTAGCTGGGATATCCCATAGCATCATGACCCTTAACCTCCAAATCAAGGAGCCAATTCCGATGAGGTGTTCGGTTATACATAAGCAGCCTCAGCAGTTTTTCTTTTTGGTGTGTGCCATTGTTGTATATATATCACACAACTTTTCTCAATCAACTTACCGACAGTGATTACAGTAATCCACTGTGTAACCCTACTCTTAATTAATGCTATGTTTTCATCACGATTAGCCCCCTTTTACCCCCCTCACTACTACCCCTGGTAAGGAGCTCTGGTAGTGTAGTCATTACAAATCGGGCTGTGAACTTTAAGGTCAGCAGTTCCAAACTACCAGCTGTTCCACGGGAGGAAAATGAGGCGTTCTGCTCTTGTAAAGATATACAGCCTCGGAAACCCTGTACAGAGTCACTATGAGTCAGAACCGACTCCACGGCACATCACCACCACTATCCCTGGTGAAATCCTGATGTGATCCTGTAGGATAAGCACTTGACTGCTAACCATAAGGTTGGTTCTTTGATCCCACCAGTGGCTCCATGGAAAACCAGTACAGAGCCACTCTGAGTTGGAACTGACTCGACGGCACTTAACAAAAACTGGTATCACTAATGCACTGTAGTCTCTGTTCATCTCCCTTTTCTTGTCTTTATAAGTGAGGTCATACAGGATTTGTCCTTTTGTGATTGGCTGTTTCACTCAGCATAATGTCTTCAGTCTCCTTCCATACTGTAGCATGTATCAAGACTTCATTTCTCCTGCACATTGAGTAGTATTTCCTTGTGTGTATGTACTACATTTTGTTTGTCCATTCATCTGTTGATGGACATTTAGGTTGTCTCCACCTTTTGGTTATTGTAAATAGTGCTTCAATGAACACTGGTGTACACGGCTCTTTGAATCTCTGCTTTCTTGGGTACATATCTAGGAGTAGAATTGCTGGGTCACATGATAGATATGTTTTCAGGTTTCTGAGGAACTGCCACACTGTTTTCCATAGTGGTTGGACCATTTTGTTTTCCTGACAGCAATGGATAAATATTCCGTTTTCCCACATCCCTACCCAACATTTGTCATTTGCTTTTGCTTTTGCTTTTAGCCTTCCTTGTGGGACTGCGAGGGTCTCTCGCTGTAGTTTTGATTTGCATACTTCTGATGGCTAATGATGCTGAGCATCTTTTCATGTGGTTGGTGGCCATTTGAATGTCCTCTTTGGTGGAATATCTATTCAGGTCCATTGCCTGTTTTTAAATTTTTTTGGTAAGTAGTTTGTCAGCGTTTTTATTTATCTTTTACTTAATAGATTCTTGTCAGATATATTGTCTCCAGTGTTAATCTCCCAGTCTGTAGCTTTCTTTTCATATTCCTTGTGAAGTCTTTTGATGGGAAAAAGTTTTAAATTTTTATGAGGTCCTAACTTTTTCCTCTCTTAATCACTGTCCTTATGATCTTATCTAGGCTTGTGTCTTTAAATACTATTTATGTACTAAAAACTCTCAGGTTCGTATCTGCGCCCATGAACCACACACTTACACATCCTGTTGCCTTCTTGGCTTCACTGGCTGTCTAGCAGCTAGCCCAGGATCTCAGGTCAGCATGTCCAGAATTGAGTCATGATACCAAGCACCCTTCCCCTACTCTCCCCCTCCTCCCTCAGGCTTCTTTTCTTATAGAATTCCTCTCCTTTGTGAATGACACTACCAGTTTTTCACTTGCTCACATCAAAAGCCTTGGATTCGTTTTTGTCCTTTCCCCAGACATCTCACACCCAGTCTTTTCCACATGTTAGTAAATCCAGTTACCCCTAACCTCAAAGCGTACCTGCAATTCAGCTGCTAATCCCCACCTCCACTACTAGCACCCTGGTCCAAAATACCATCATCTCTTGCTCAAATTACTGAACTAGCCATTTAGTCAGCTGTGTGCATTATCTATTCCTGGTGTGAAACGTTAGGGTAAGCACTAAACTGCTAACCACAAGGTTGGCAATTCAAACCCACCCGCCACTCCTTGGAAACTCTATACAGGATCGCTGTGAGTCAGACCTGAATCAACAGACATGTCACATAGTACTCTAGACCTTGGTGACTGGTAACAACAAGTCTTTGTCATTTCAGAGTTTCTGTGGGTCAGGAATTTGGGGGCAGCTTAGCTGGGTAGTGCTGGCTTCTACTCTCATGAGGGTGTAGTCAGCCCTGGGATTGAGATCCCTGCTGCAGCACTGGTGGGCTGGGTGGGTGGGATTATTAGAAAGATTGTTGTTGTTAAGTACTGCTGAGTCAGTTCCAATTCATAGCAACCCTATATAGGGTTTCTGAGGAGCCGCTGGTTGGTTTGAACTGCCAACTTTGTCATTCGCAGTCCAGTGCTGATCTTAAAGCACCAGACCAGGAGTCCTTAGAAAGATTAGTGGTCAGGTAAAGCAACTGAACCAGATGGCCTTTCTTTACTGTTGTATGGGGGGAGAGGAGGGGAGATAGTTTTAGATAATTTGAAAGTAAAGATTTAAAATTATGGTACTATAAAATTGTAAAAGTAAACAGTTTCAAGATGGGTTTTCAAGTAATACGAGCATTGCATCTCAGTCTTTTCCTCAGCAGTTTGGTTCATGGATAGCAACCAATCTCTTTCCAGGTTAGGATGGGGAAAATCGAGGCTTACAGAGACCTGGACTATGCGGATGAGAGCCTGGACTATTGGCTTCCTGTCGCTGTGTTGAAGTCTGGGTCAAGAGTGGGTAACTGGGCAGTTTCTCCTGATTACAGGATAACTTCATGTATTTCGCATTTGCACATCTGCTCCTGATATGAAAACTATTTCTATTAAATTAGTCCCCAAATAAACGGAGTCATTTGTCTTAGGCAATTGCTCATTAAGGCCCTTACTCCACATTTCTTCGTCAAATGGAATGCAGCCCAAATCCGAATCTTTGGGAACGAAGAACTAACGGATAAACTCCTAGACCATTGTAGTGGTGGTTCCTTTTCAGTTCTCCATGAAGCTCGGAAAATAACTGGAACAGCTCGTGGTTTTATATGCTCCATGTTTTAAAATGGTGTTAATAGGTTGTGGTCTGTACTGGGATTTGGAGTTAATTAAAAAGTTGCTAATGAGATATTCTTTCTTGATGATTACTCTTTTCTTAAAAATAGACTAGTCTATTTAGTAGACTCTTCTTCCCTGCCCTAAAGAGGCCCCTTGGAAGAGGCATTTGCTATTCTCTATTGTGACACCTAGCAGGGCAGACAAGTGATACAAATGTTTCTCTTTTGGGGTTCTCCAGGGAATCACCCTCTTCTGGAATCTTGTAAGGTTTGTTGTTTGTTGGTGGTGGTTTGAAACTTTTCCCCAAAATATAACATATATATGGAAAAGTATACAAATCATAAGTGTACAGCTCACTGAGTTATCACAAACAGTACACACCCATGTAATCAGCACCCAGACAAAGGAATAGACCATTACCAGCACCCCGGTCATCCTCCTTGCGTCCCTTTCTATTCACTACCCCCTCACCCACAAAGGAACCACTTGAATGACTTTTGACATCAGAGATCCACTCTGCCTGTGTTTGACCACATACTCTTATTTCTGACTTCTTTCAATTAAGGTCTTTATAGTATGTAGTTGTTCTGATTCATAGCAACCCTGTATAGGGTTTCTGAGGAGCAGCTGGAAAGTTCAGACTGCTGACCTTGCAATTCAAATCGACCCTGTGGTCCAGTAATTTCAGTAGGCACTGCCAGATAGTTTTCTAAAACGATTGTATCCATGTACCCGCTTATCAGCAGTATGTAGAATCTATCCCTGCCACACTATTTTTAATTGTGTCATTCTAGTGGGTGTGGGGAATGTGTGTTTTTATAGATTTTTATCATAATAATAGAAAAGTAATATTATCTCCACTTGGTAGACATTTTTGCCCCCATCTTTATAGGTGACCACAGAATGTGAATCCTAGTGTGGCGCTGTGGGTTAATGCACCAGATGCAAAGCCATTTGAACTGTAAGGTTGGTGCTTCAAGCTCACCAGCTGATCCTCTGAAATCCTATACAGGGTCACTATGGGTCAGAACCAACTTGACGGCACTTCACAGCAACTACAACACAGAATGTGAAGGCCAGGAGACAGCTGGCCTTTGGAATTCAGCTGAAACCCCTCACTGCCCAGCATGCAACATAGCATGGAGGGTCTGGGTGTACTCTGCTTCACAGTGGCCAAATTTTAGCTAGGAGGTTTGCTTGTTTTCACACCATTGCCTGTCTTCCTCCTTTAAACATTATACTTCTTTTTTTTTTTTTTTTTCAGTAACATTCTGAGGAAATTAATTTCCCAAATTAACTATATGTTCCTTGATTAAAACTTGCCAGGAGCAGTTATTACCAATATCTCCCTGTTCTTCTGCCATGGGAAGTCTTAGGGGAAGGCC